AATTTAGCTGTTAAGGCAGGGGTTCCCAAACTTGGCAACTTTAAGACTTGTGGATTTCAACTTCCAGAATTCTCCAGCCAGCTATGCTGGCTGGAGAATTCTGGGAGTTGCAGTCCACAAGTCTTAAAGTTGCCAAGTTTGGAGACCTCTGTGTTAAGGCATCAGGCTAAAAACAATGATTATGAGTTACAGTCCTGCCTTAGGCCTAAAGCCAGCTGAGTGACCTTCGGTCAATGACTCTTTCTCAGCCCTAGGATGGAAGCAAAGGCAAAACACTTCTGAAAAAACCCTGCCAAGAAAACTGCAGCAACTTGTCCAGGTAGTCACTGAGAATCAGACATCACTGAAAAGAAGGGGGGGGGAGGAAATTCCAGACGTGAGGATTTTAACTCCCAGAATTGTCCAACCAGCCTGCTGAGCTGACCAAGGAAACCGGAAATCAAAGTTCACTTCACTTCAAGTTATCAACATTGAAAACTGCAGGGACTTGTTCAGGCAGTTGTCAGGAGTCAAAACTGCCTGGAAAGTACTTGTGTGCGCACGCATACACCCACACACCACACCACACACTGTGTTATTATCCTCCTACCTTCCTGAGATAGGAAAAGAGCCCTATCTCAGGGAGGTAGAAGGATAATAACACAGTTAACCTGGATGCTAGCCATGTAGGAGTTTCAGGTTGGATTCATTCAACTGTTGGGCTAATACACGATTACTACTTGGCAGTTCAGTGTACTGTGCAAATCCTCCCCCCCCCCCCCCCACTTCAAAAAAAATCTGTTCATTGAGGAAAGAATGAACCAGAAGTCCGGGTCTTTCATGCGCAAACGTATCCTAAAAATAACAACCAAAATTTTGAATTGTTCCTGTAAACGTGCTGCAAAATAAATAGTTCTTTCAAAATCCTGAATTACGTCTCAAATTTAATAGCACTCCCATACACATTCAGAATATTGATGTCTACAAGGGCTTAATATATGTGCTTGGTATGGATGGAGCCCCGTTTCATTTATGGCTTATTCAGAAAGTTTAGACTAAGTTTAGACTAAGGCAGGACATAAAAATATATTAATTTTAGAGAAATGATGATACAAATGATGATACAAGTTTTATAGATAGTGAAATGTGTGGTATTAGCAAGAGAAAGAACAAGGAACTGTGAAATGCCAAACCACAAGGATCATCTATCGGTCACAAAGTCATATTTGCCAAGATACCTTGTCTCGCTTGTAACAAAACCACAAGCTAGGGAGTTTAGCAGGATAGGTTTGTGACATCCAGCCATCCTAGCCTAGCAACAGGGGATGGGGAAAGCTGTGTTTAAAGTAACCAAGGAATGACTGACAAGTTATATTTCTGTGTTTTGCCCTTTCTGAAGAAGCATATAGGCATGTGCTGTTCAATAAGAAAATTGTTCAGAAGTGACTCTCGCTAAAATACTCTGAACCTGTTTGCGCAAATAAAACCCCAACTTATTTTTGGATTCCAAGGTCCGAGTCTCGTAATTTCCTGCAACAAGACAAATACAGCTTAAGATGCTGCAACAGCTCAGAACTATCCAGAGTATACAGGGTGTGCATAAGCCTGCTACTACAGTTTAGCATGCTTACTTCGCATGGATGACATGTGCTGTCTACATCCAAAAAAAAGCCCTCATCATTTCTTCTATTGTTCTAGATTATGACAGGAAACTTTCTTTTCTACATTAAAAACATCATTAAAAAAGATACTAGTAAGTTGGATACGATTGCTCGTCACTGCATCCATGTAGTTTTCCTGGCAGAGTTACGGTATAAGTAAATTGGTTGTCACAGCCTTTGTAGGGCCATTTTCCCACTCTACCTAACAGAATTCCCACTTGTATTCCTCATTCATATATTAATTAAACCCGCCCCTGCTCAGCTCTGAAAAATTGCCAAGGCTGCCATAGGGACTGCCATTTGTGGAGGTTTTTATATAAGGCAATCCTCATTTAACAATACTTTTCTGACAGTTTGAAGTCACAATGACATTGAAAAGTAACTTTAAAACCATTGCAGTATCTCCGCAATCACATAACTGAAATTGCGTCACTTCGCAACCGGTCAGAAGAATTTATGATTGTTGCAGAATTCATATGCTCACAATGTGCATGCTTCCTAGCCTGCTTTCTAACAAGCAGAGTTAATGGTGCAGCTGGCAATAAAACAGAAAGTCATGGTCCCAGGATGTTCCACTTAACAACTGTGGTGATAATTTTAATGATTGTGGAAGTGGAGTTGTAAGCTTGTTGCTGTCCTGTGATGTTTCACTTAATGACTGTGTTGCCCACGGACAGAGTTGCTGGTCCCAACTGTAGTTGCTAAGCAAGGACTACCTGTATACCTATGCCATATCATATAAAGAAAACAATGACAGATTTTACCATGTGAAGTATTTGGGTGCTTCGTGGTCTCATTCTTCTACTATTTTACTCCTGTTTTGTTTACACACTTTTCATTTCTTCCTTTTTATTGTCGTATGCCGCCTAGAGTAGCTCCTTAGTGAGAGGTAAATAAATTGCTGTTCTTTCTGTTTCTCGTAGGGCTGAAACAAAACATCCATGCATTATTGCTACACCGCTAGGCTAAAATGTAGGAATAAACCACATAAAAATAGTTGGTGCAAAAACAGTGGCTGAATTTCCCCTTTTGGAAAATGAACAAGATTTAAATTGAGCAGCTTAATGCCTATAAACATTGAAGGCACGGGTGTCAATCTCACAGCATTACATTGCCGTCATGTGACATTTCACAACATTTTTCCCATTCACAGAGCTATGCCATGCCGTGGGTTTTTTAAGCCTAAAGCAGGATTAGAACTGACAGACTTGGGATTTCTAGACCAGCACCTTAACCCTTACACCAAACTAACTCTCTGACTATACACTGAATTCTAAAAGTTTGATGCTAATGCTTTGCCTGACCTTGATCCAAATAATTATGGGTTGAAGCTATCTAATTACGCAAGCATATTAAAGGAAGTAGCATCTTATCAGGTTTCTGTAATACATCTACAGAACCTGACTAATCTTAAAATTGTAATTATACCTCATTCCAAGTGACAGAACTCCTTTGTGAAGGCAACTATCCATCTGTGCTATGGATACTATCTAGCTATGTGACTTTTCTTGGTCATAAATTTCCATAAATATGTAACAGAGTTCTTTGCAGCGGGGAGGAGTTAATATAAGGCAAGTGGCAGTTGGAACAGAATTGTTTTCAGGTGGGGAGGGGGAGTACAGGGGTGGTATTCACGGGCTTCGGACCGATTCAGGCGAACCTCTAGGGAAAATTTTAAGTGGCTCATAGAACCGGTAGGGAAAATTTTGACTGGTCCCGCCCACCGGCCCCTGCTCTTACCTCTCACCTCCCCTCTTTCCTATATTCTGTTATTAGCTCAGCTGATTCACACGGATTGTGGATTGCCGCACCTCAGCTGAGCTAAGAAACAGGTGATGGTCGGTGTTTGTGTGATTTGCGCACACACACTTGGTTCTGGCTCCTAGGTAATTGCAGGGAGGCCTCCTAGGCCCAAAACGGGGTGCAGCGCGGCCCCCCAGTGCTCCGTTTTTGCTTCCAGGAGGCTGCAGGGAGGTTTACTAGGCCCAAAACGGGGCGCGGGGAGGTTGCAGCAAAAAAAAGAAAGAGAAAGAAAGGAGGGATGGGAAAAAGAAAGAAAGAAAGAAAGAAAGAAAGAAAGAAAGAAAGAAAG